CAATGTCTATCCAATTTCAAGAGACAAGAAGATGCATACGATCAGGATTTCACAATTCTCTTAAATGCTCTAGAAAGCCTGTTTGCATACATAGATCTATAGATGTCACACCCGTCATATAGCAGAATCATGTTCTCAGAGGTGAGAGGAGGGACATTAGGTTCTAAGATCATTAAAGTGAAACTGCACATTGTTAAAATTACCTTGGAAATTCCTTAAATGGCCCAGAAAGTACAGTACTGTCTACACAGTTTTATATCTACACAGCATTTATCAGTCCCTCTAACTCTTAGTATATGTTTCCCTACTGTTGCCAATCAGTTATATTCAGATTCTTTTTCCACGATGATGGTAAAATCATTATCACCCATTAGCCTGGTCTCCTGAACGATGTGTTACCCACTCTGTTGGTAGTCAGAACCCTTAGAACTCATCTCTCCTTTGGTTTCATTGACAGGTAGCCATCACTGTTTAACATAAGTAATGCACAGAGTTGCTCCCTAGTCATGAAGTGGCTAAATGTGAATGGCCTGGGTTTCCTGAAAGCCGCCTTCCTCCTCAGGGACAGAAGCTGCTCTTTATTGACAATATCCAACATCTTCTGACTAGAGGTCTTAGGAAGAACCAAAGGTTGATGGAGGAAACCAGGGCTTCATTGTCGGCTCTACAGGAAATGTAGACGTCACTGTTCAGATGTCATCGTCATTTAGGTAGTCATTCTGCAAATATTTATTGAGCATCTGCCATGTATAGGCACAAGGCACATGGTATAGATAAAACCACCATGGTACCTGTCCTCACAGAGTCCATAGCACAGCGGGGAAGAAGGGAGGACACTAACTAAAATAGAGTATGACAAAATATAGTATGATACGTACAACAGCAGGAAAGTATGGAGTGCTATGAAGGCTCATAGGACAAGTTCATAAACCAAACCTGGGGAAGGGAGTCATCGTGAAAGGCTTCCTGAAAGAAGCTAAGACTTGAGGATCAGGAATTAGCCAAGGAAGAGGAGGTGAGGGGGAAAGAAGAAAGAGTGGTTCCAGGTAGAGTTAGCAGCATGTGTAATAGTCCATGGGTGAAAGACTCACCAGTCAGAAAGAAAGGCTAAAGTAAAGGCCAATGGATATGATGACCAGGTGGTCACTGGGGAGCTTTGAGGAAGACAATTTAGTAACATGACTGGTGACAGAAGCCAAATTGCAAGGAGTTGCAGAAAGGACTGGTGGACTAATGGCTGATAAAGTCTCACTGAAAGAAACAAGTTGAGAGCACCCTGAAGAGAAAGCACTGTCAAAAGAACACAACTTCAGCACAGCTTTGAGTCTCTGTGCTGAAGGAATATTTAAATTCCCAGAACTCTCCCACCAGCCAGCACCAGACACAGGGAAGCTGGGTGCCATCAGTCCCTTACAGAAACACATTTGCAAGAATTTGCATGGACGCTGATGTGAGTTCGAATAATGTAAATAAAACAGAATGAAGCTGAACCCCACTCCATGCTCAGTGGCTCGTGCTAGTCCAGTGGGCCTTATCAGAAGCAAGGCAACATAGGCGTTACCTGGGAGGTTCTCAACCCTCCAATCATCTTCTCAGCACAACAGGAAGTACTCTCGTTGGAGACGTGGTACCGTGGATTAAGCCCTATTTTCTGTTCTACCATCAGATTCTTTTAAAAATCCAAGCATCCCTTGGCAGAAAGTCTCATGGGTGACTAACATCTAAGAATAAATGAACTCCCTGGTTTCTTTGTTCACTCATGGCACTCATGGTAGAAGTGTAGGGTGGGCTGGAAGTTTGAGAAAGCAAGCTTGTCCCACTTCCAATGTCACCCTGGTCACTAACCCCACCCCTGCTAACAGTAAGAAAAGGCAAAAAGGAGTGTATATACTCAGCAGACAACTTCCAGGGCAGAAGTATATGTTTCAAATGCTTGGGGTTTCTTATCTTTAGTGATGCAATTTTTTTAATGATGTAAAACCCTCAGAATTGTTTTGATTGAGATTTCGATCTCTGCTTCTCCAAATTGATTCAACCTCCAATGGCCATGCACCAAAGAAATGATTTTCATGAGGACATTATTTCTTTTGAAGTATTTCCAATTTGTGGGTAAAAATTATGGTTTTTACCACTTATCCCAACAATAGTCAGTCTTTTAATCTAAGGTAAAAAGCTGAAATGTGTTATAAAAACAAAATTACAAAAGGCTCACATTCATAGAATCTGGCATCTCTGAAGCTGAGCAAACATAACAACGATAGCTGATTAGTCAGATGAGATAGCCCAGGAATCACAAATTGGTAACCTTAGGTCTGAATCCAGTTCACAGGGTTTTCTTGGGCCAGACACGTTTTGTTTTTCACCTGAACTTTAATGCCTTTAGATGGGACCCATTCTCTGCAAGTTGGCTACAGGCCCCTGATCAGACAAAGCACCATTTACGTACACAGTCGTATTTCTTGCCTGATTCCTGCAGATATTTGAGTTTGGGACGACTGGTTTATATAAACTGATATTAAGAACAAACAAATAACTTCTCTCCTACTCAGGTAGAGCTCCGGTGTTAACCGTTTCAGAGTGGAGCACATGTGGATTATTGAGCAATAGGATGGCTGAAAAACGATAAACCACAACAGCATGCAACACCACTGGCAATCAGACTCTTAGCAAAAGAGGAAACCAAAAACACTGGTGGGGCTCATCAGTCTCAGAATCAGCCATGTGACCATGGCTTTGAAACCACTTTTTAACAGAAGTATCTGCCAGAGTCACTCTCTGATCTCGCCTCATGTACACTGATCCCACAAGATCCCTGACATCTGGATGTCACAGAACACGAGCCTGGCAGCCAAAATCCAATCCAAGCTGGGCTTGGCAAAGGAAACAACCCTGCTATTCAGGGAGCTGTGGCTGTACTGCAGTATCTGTGGTGTCCAAAAAATGACACTCAGCTTGGGGCAATTAGCCATTCAGCCACTTGGTGGCTATTTAAGACATCTGCAGCATGCAATACACTGTGCCATCATCTGTCTGTCTGTCTGTCTGTCCTGGCACAGAGGATTTAAGTCCCTACTTCAACCCCATCTCAGTTCCTTATTACACTTCCTATCACACCCTCTCATTTTATTTCTTTATTCCTCACACTTGTTCATGAATGAGAAATTAGGCTGAGCAAGTTGATAGGACATGCTCAAAGGCTTGTCTTTCAAGTGTCTTCACAGGGACTAGAACTAGATGTCCAAGACCTCCACTGTGGAGGTGTTCTCTCTGCAGCCAGACGCCCTGGGACACAGCATGCATTTAAGCACCAATGTCCTTTTGCAGCCCAGCCCAGTATTCCTGGATTTGATTTCTGGCACATGGACTGTCTAGCTCACTCAAGGTCATCGTTAGGATTTCAGTCAAAGCCCACCTATAAGGAAAGGCTCCTCTGCCCTGGTTGGTCCTCTGTGCATGTATTTCCCGCAGGGGCACGGCAGGGAATATTTCCTGGCTGGAGACAGGCTCTGAGTTTGTAATCTTGTGCCCCAATCATGAATTTCATCTGCAAAGATAAACTGCTTGCTCTTCTGCTCCAACTTACCCATGACAAAAGTGGCGGTTTCCTTTGTATCACCATGTTTCTCACGCCTCAAGAGCCCTCTGAACTTGTCCCAGTCCTTCCCTGCCCCAGACAGCAGTCTCCTAGGAGACTTGTCTGGGGTAAATGAAATCAAGCCCCATAGGACTGACTGCCCTGTTTTGTTTGTTCGTGTGCAGCTTCAAAGTCTTTATATTATGCAGAGCTTGGTAATACCAATTAAAATAGGTAAAATAATCAACTATAGCAATTAAGCTCATATCTATACAAGGTAGGGATATTCTTTACAGCAGTGGTTCTCAACCTTCCTAATGCCGCAACCCTTTAATATAGTTCCTCATGTTGTGGTGACCCCCAATTTCATTGTTACAAATTGAACATAATTAAAGCATAGTGATTAATCACAAAAATAATATGTAATTATATATGTGTTTTCCGATGGTCATAGGCGACCCCTGTGAAAGGGTCGTTCGACCCCCAAAGGTGTCTCGACCCACAAGTTGAGAACCACTGCTTTACAGGGACATATGGCGGTATTACACTGTTTTAAAAGAAAAATGGTATTGGACTTCAGTGTTTTGTGGGGACTTACAATTACTATAGGTTAAAGGTTGCCTGTAATAATTTTCTCTAGTTCTTATTCTCATTGTTCAATGTTTACCAGACTAGGTCTAAGGTACCTTGGGGATACTTTATCAACTTTTGAGAATTTCCCTTCCTGATCCGCAGTTCCTGGAGTATGTGTCCTTGGTCTCCCTGATAGCATCTGTGTCATTGTCTTGGGGGGTGAGGGGTGGAATCCAATATGCAGGGCTCTGCTCACAGTGTTATATCATAGCCAGTCACCAGAAGCAACAGAGAAAAAACAGTGAACGGAAGCCTGTGGCAGACACTGTAGCTGACCAGCCATCACTTCCGTCCCCCCTCCTCTGCATTGTGCTGTTTGAGGGGGAAACTACCCCCACCCCTAGCTCTCAGGTTCAGCCCTGACCATTTTATTTTTTAATTTTTTAATGTTTTTATTGATTTCAGAAAGAAGAGAGGGGGAGAGAAGGATAGAAGCATCAATGATGAGAGAGAATCAACAATCAGCTGCCTCCTGCTTGTCCCCTATTGGGGATCGAGCCCACAACCCCGGCATGTGCCCTGACTGGGAATTGAACCAAGACCTCCTGGTTCATAGGTCGGTACTCAACCACTGAGCCACACCGGCCGGAAAGCCCTGACCATTTTAACTCAAACATAGTATTCCCATCCCCTTAGCCATCTAGTGATTGGTTTAGGCAATCCAGCCTAAGCCAATCAACACAGCACATTCTATAGTCAGTAAACAGGCTTAAGACTGAGCAGATGGCCCAGTGTGAGTCAATGAGACACCAGAAATTTTCTGGGGCTTCTAGAAAAGGTCACTCACTCCTGTGATAGAGCCACCGGAAGTCAGTTCTCTCTCCCTCTGGATGGAGTGTTGTGGATATGAAGTTAGAATTGCTGCAGACATCTAACCACCAGGACAGAAGCGAGCTGAGGATGAAATTCAACCACAGAGGGCAGACTGGAAAGAAATGGGTTCTTGCCATCACTGAACTGCTAAATCCAAACTCATTCTAGTTATGTAAGCTAATAAAAAATTCTCTTCCGTACGAGCCAGTCTACACTGGGTCTCTCTCTCTTGCATAAGAGCCCTAACTGATATAACATCCTGTGCAGCTAACGAGGACTTCTAATGTTGCTGCCGGCTTCACCACATGACCAGCCCATTCTTCTCCATTTCCTCAAGCTAGCTGACAACAAAGGCCAGAGCGCAGTCTGGAAGCCCCTCTCCTGCAAGGCCAAGGCTTGCCTGTCCCGATGGCAAAGGTAACTGACAGCCATGCCCCCAGGGGAGGGGGGTTTGCTGAGAAATCTCAGCGGCACAGGCAGGGAGGAGAGCCTGAGAGACAGGCCCAGACTCCTTGGGCTTCCTCCTCCACTCCCAGCATGATACTGTCCACCATGCCCGATGGGCTTCCTGAGGGGCCTGTGTGGGGACATCTTTGCCACAAAGGGGTGGCCACCTTCCTGACAGGAGGCAGGGCAAGAGTTGTAAGGTAGGCAAAGGTGTGCAAAAGCTCCAGACTAATGTGGAGCCAGGAGCCAGGAGCCAGGTCAGGCCTGCCCTGGGATTTGTCCCAGGAACCAAGGGTGTGTGGTAAGGTGCTCAGGGACACATTTGTGAAGGGTAGGAACTTATTAAGTAGGAACAGGCAGCACTGGGCTATTAGGGTCAGGCCAGCTTTTTGCCTTAGGATATGCCGAAGTCCACCTGGGGCTGCTTTGAGGAAGGCACCCAGTGCACAGCTCACTGCATTCCTGCACTTCCACTCAGCAGTCTTACAGCCGAAACATTGAATTCCAACAGAATGACTTTCTGGAAGCTGGAAGCTGGGGAAATCGGTCGGCATTTTAATTAGGCTGTCTTTGCAGGCACCTGTAACTGAACACTCTCGGGGTCCACCACCCACATGTAGCAAACACTTGTTCATAAGCTGGAAATGAAGAAATGTTTCTTGTCAAGTTTTCTTAAGGCCTCCTTGCTGCTGGTAGCAACCCCCAGGTAAATACCTGCATTTCTGCATTTGCTTTGTCGTCCTGAGTTTTGATCACAGAATTTCTCCCAGCGAGCACTCCTCCTCAGGTTCTCCCCAAAGCCAGCGAGGACAACTCTCCCAAAGACCACAAGCAAAGGACTGTGGGGGTCTTCGCCCTCATGCTCTAGGGGTAGATGAAGAACTAACTACTGGAAGTACTGATACCAAAGGACGCCAATCAATGTTAACCCCAGGATTTGAGAGCTCATTTACAGACAATGTATACAAGTGAACATTAAAAAAACACACAGAAAAAGGGCTATACAATTCTAAATGCAAATTAAGATGCTAATGTGAATCTTGAGGTATCCATAATGGGAAAAAGGGACAGAAGAGGCAAGAGAGTCAGGAATGACTTAGTTCTCTCCACAAGATGGGACGACCTTACACAAATACCTCGTGTTACTCTGTCCACAGAGTACAGGCCATGGGTGACTAGAGGAGAGGGGATGACTCAGGTAACAGCAAAGAGTTATTTTTCTCTATACTTAGCGCTAGTCCGACCTTCGACAGAAAGTGAAATTAGAAGATTTGGCCTGTGTCCAGAGGACAACAGTCATAAGATTTAAAGGAATGGAAGAAAAACAAAGGCTTGAACTGACTCACAGTAAAGCAAGAAGACAAAGAATGTTGAGCAAAAATTGTCCAGGTCAAACTGCATTTAATAACAATCAGTCACTCTTATCTTGTGTTAACTGTATCCAAGTAACTTAGCAATGAACGTAGGGAGGCTTTAGAAGATTGTAGATTCTGGTTTATGAGATTATAGTATTTAGAAAACCAGAAGGATTTATCTCCAGATCAAAACAAAGAAAGGCAATATTTGGCAGGGGACTCCTCGGAGATGAGAGGTCTGACCCTTTCTTGTGTTTGCAGCGGGTCCTCTGTAAGGTGGGCAGGACACACTGGGGAACAACCAGAATGAACCGCTGCAACAGCTACTGGAGGAGCCACTGCACCTGGAAGTCTGGGCTGGTGTGTGGCCCACGTCCCACCAAGCAGCAGGGTGGTGGGAAGAATGCTGGGGTCAGAGGCAGGTTCTCATCCCAGCTCTGGCACTAGGACGCTAAATAACCATGGACACCTGACTTGACTTCTTCGTTGTCCTACATTTCATTTGTAAAAAAGTAGATTACACTAGACCATCTCCTGCCCAGTAAAAGTCAATTCATTATAACTGTCCACAAGGCGCCACCTATTCTGGTTCCTCACCACCTGTCTGGATCATCTCCCCTCCTCATATCAGCCCCTTGGCCTTTCCTGGAATACCACACCCATTCCCACCTCAGGGCCTTTGCATCTGTTCTCCCTCTGCCCAGAATGTTCTTCCCCAGGATACTCACAGGCCTGGCTTCCTCACATCTTTCAGATGAGTCTAATAGCACATTCTCAACATTCTCAGTGAGGACACACGATAGCAAATCCTCCCTCCACCCCCCCACGCACACACACACAAAACAATCCTATCCCCCTTTCAGCTTAAAAGAAATCTTGTCCTTCCTTTTCCGTTAACAGTATCCCACCTAATATATATTCATATATTTTAAAAAATACAGAACATATCTACTATAATAATAAAAGCATAATATGCTAATTAGACCAGACAGCTGAACGACCTTCTGAACATCATTCCGGATGTCCTTCTGGATGAAGCCATTGTGGTAGGGGCTGAGGCAGAGGCAGTTAGGGGTGATCAGGCAGGCAGGCAAGCAGTTAGGGGTATTCAGGCAGACAGCAGAGTGGTTAGAGGTGATCAAGAAGGCAGGTAGAGTGGTTCGGGGCAATCAGGCAGGTAGGCAGAGGCGGTTAGGGGCGATCAGGCAGCCAGGCAGAGTGGTTAGGGGCGATCAGGCAGGCAGGTGAGCGGTTAGGAGCCAGTGGTCCCAGATTGCGAGAGGGATGTCCGAGGGGTCCCAGATTGCGAGAGGGTGCAGGCCAGGCTGAGGGATGCCCACCCCCATGCACAAATTTCATGCACCAGGCCTCTAGTAAAAAAAGAAAAATCAAGGATACAGGTGCCAAAGGCCAGAGGTAGCTAGAAAAGTGTGCCATAGGAAAAGCCTTATTACCTTGTTTTAAAAGCTGTAGCTAACATAAATCTTAGCTTAGTTTTCCTTTGATCTAGCTTCCCCTGCTCTACCTCTGAATGTTCTACTTATTTGGTTGCTTATTATCCAGAAGGTTGTCTCTCCAAGGGCAGGGACTTCTATCTGCTTTGTTCACTGGCATTTCCCTGGTACCTGGAAGAGTGCCTGGTACGTAACAGGAATTCAGTAAGTTTTGGTGAATGGACACATGCATGGATCGGTGGAAGGGAGGGCAGGTACAGCTCTTTTTGTTTGTTTGTTTTTTATGTTTTTTTAAGTTGATTTTTTTAGAGAGAGAAGAAGGGAGAGAGATAGAGAGATAGAAACATTGATGAGAGAGGAACATCATTGATTGGCTGACTCTTGCATGCCCCTCACTGGGGATTGAGTCCGCAACCCCGGCATGTGCCCTGACTAGGAATCGAACCCACGACTTCCCAATTCCTGGGTCGATGCTCAACTGCTGAGCCACACTGGCCAGGCTAAGTACAGCTCTTTACAGTGTCTTCCAGCTCTGAGGTCTGTGGGCTGTGGGGTCCATGTGAAGGCTCTCCTCTTTCACCACTGTACCAGGATGGACTCTGTAACCACATGAAATAACAAGCCACCCCAGAGCCAGATGGACTATGCCTTCACTCCACTGCAGAACTTCTCCAATGCTGGGTTCCACACGCTCCATGCCCTGAGCCAAAGGGCCATGTATGCCATGCACTCTCAGCAATTGTTATGTATGGGAAATTATTTATATTTGATAAATGTGTTCTATATATTTAAATATATTTATTGATATTCAGCTCCATTTTTTCCCTAAGGCAAAATTAATATAATTTTGGAGAACATGGTTACATCCATCTCCTTGGGCTAATTCTTCATCTAAAATACCCTGGCGGAAAGAGCAGTAAGCTTCCCTACCTCCAATACCACACTATTAATTTGACCTGAAGTGAGAAGAGGTGGGTGATGCTCCCGTGTGCATCTGGGCCAGTTCCACTAGATGGCAACATGGCCAGGGTGCTGGTATCCAAGGGTGACATTTACCAGCAACATGGACTAGAGAAGCTC